GCTGGGGATTTAACTCAGTGGTTCCACCACCTGTTTTGCAAAAATGTTGTTAATTAGGCATTTGTCCCAGAAATTTTAATTAATGATTCATCCTCCATACACACTCCTGTAAGAAAAAAAGAACTAAAAAATTGTAATGATGTGTCTGCTTACTTTTTAAGGTGGTTGGCTTATGGGTGTTTATGTTAAAGAGAATTTTTTGCTCAGCTGTCTGTATCAGATTCAAGGGGTGGCGACACAAGATATTCTGAAGTTGTCTAGGTTGGACCATGAGCTCCTGGATTTATTGCTATCAGTCCCAGGAGTTTTCTGATATGGAGTAAAGAGCTAGTATGATTTATATCAGCTATACTGAGAGGACAGTTCTCTCTACATTTCTCAGCACCTGGGTGTGGGACCTCTCATGATTTTTGTCCTCTTGAAGGCTTCGGGATTCAAGATCTATAGATTAGACTTTGTCACATATTGTCAACCTCCCAGAGTCTGGTACATTGTTGAAGGTTCTGAGTCAATGCCAAGCTAAATCAGAGCCACCGTGTGTGGTAGAGATTTGTAATTGGCCAATTATAACAAGGGTTTCAATGCTCTTTTGTCTGGTCATTAATTTAGGGTATAAGAAGCTGAGCAACAATGAAGGTTCAAGGAACCCCATTAGATAAACCAAGGAGCTATTTCTGAACTCTTCTCAAAAGACCTCTGGGATGGTTCTAGCTTGGGAATTTTTAAAAAACAGTTAGTGAAATTATGTCTAGCATCTCAGGGACATCGGTTTTATGAAGGACTTCAGGATTCAGGACAAATTATACATACAAATTGTACATCAGAGACTCCTTTGTATTTATCTGGGTAATGTCAGGAGTTACTTTTCTTGCAGGGGTTACTTGTTGATCCCTAATGTGGCCACTGGCCAGGAATTTTTGTCTAAGGATCTGATGGACTGGGTTCCTCAGATATGGAATTCTAGGACAACTTGCTGCTTTACAACTTGATAATTTTGTTGGAGTAACAAGGTGTAATTTAGAAATCTTGGAGGATGATTTTATAATTTCACAAGTGGAAGTTTTGAAAACATTTGAAGACCCTGGGGAAATTGAATAGTTTGGTTAAACCATTCTTCTAGAATCACTAGTAAAGAAACCACACACCTTTGTTATCTGAAAATTCGAGCAGAAACATTTAGGACAGAATTGGATTTACTCTGTGTTCTTGGAATACTCTTTTTCTATTGTCTTTAGCTCTACCATAGTTGCATTTCTTAGTGAGATAGGAGACCCTTGAGAAGCTCTTGCCCCGACTAATCTGTGTCCCTTTCTGCTGTTTTGAATGCCACCAAGCTCCTCCTTACACAGATGTTGCTCTTACAAACTTGTAACCAGATGCGCGTAGGTAGATTTGGTTTCTCCCACAGCGCTATTGTGCACCTCTAATCTTACTGTATTAATTGAGTGTGTCATTCTAAAGCTTCATATCTAGACAACTCCCCTCCTCGGGGAGATAGACATTATTGGATTATTCTCAGATATTATGCAGTTTGTCAAGCTGTAAAACCCACTGGTATTTGAAGTAATTTTAATTTCAGCCCCTATTTCTCTTGAAGTTTTCATAGTTCTTTGAAATCAACAAGGTAAGACTAGGATTTAATTTGTTTACAATGATGTTTCCTTTTGTCCTAAAATTTGGTGACTTTATTGTATTAATACTTTTAGCATGCTTGTCTGATAATATGCTTAACACTTAAAAAGTACATGTTTCACAAATTAATGTCAAAAATATACCGCCAAATGTGTACATGAATCAAAATACCACATTGTGCTTCAGAAGTCTGTACAAATATTATGTCCAAATAAAATATTAAACTATATAAAAATAATAATACCTTGACTTAATTTATTGACATATAGGACACATCAAATTGCAAGAATAATCTTTTGCAGAAATTAGTGTTTATTTTAATGTATCAGAAGTAAAAATGTTAAAATATATAGATAAAAAATTGCTAGACATAAGGGTAGTTTGCTGCAATCCCAGCTACTTGAACTGCTAATGGAGAATCATGAGTTCAAACTCAGCTGAGGCAACTCAGCAACACAAAATCTTAAGGAAGAAAAGAGTTGGGGATATAGATAAACACCCCCTGGGCTCCCTCCTCAGGAACCAAAACAAGTAAGAAGTAAATAAGTACATAAATAGGATTATATTATAGACAGACTTACTTGTTTATAAATTTTTTTCCCACGTGTTAGCACATTCCAATGTGTTTCAAAGGAGTTACAGAGGTATAAGGACAAAGGATAAATGGCAGGCTAGAGTTAAAGAATCTGCGAATATGAAGGCAGCAAAAGCACAGAACAAGGACCCAGATATTACTCCTAAATCTGATAGGTGTACTGAGGAGCTTTAGCCAAAATTTGCTGACCAATGAGTGTAACACAACCTCAGAGAGTCCAAAGATAAGAGCCATAAACCAAGAGCTATTTAAATTGGAAAAGAATGAAATAAATTTGTGGGCAGGGCAAAAAGTTTGGGATAATGAAAAAGATACCCATTCTAAAGAGATGCAAGTAGATATACCTCCAAAAGGGCAAAACGAGTCAGTTTTGGAAACTAGAGCTTGTTGAGTGTCAAAGTACATAATTATTTCCCACCAGATATTAGATCTGTCCATTTGGCTGCCAATTCTCCCCACAGAGAAATACTTCTGCCCTTGGAACTGGAAGTCATTATTAATAACTGTGACACATTTTGGGTTATAGCTTTAATAAAAAGAAATAGCATTAGCTCCTTCTAAAACTGGTCTGTAATCTGGGAATCTAGAGAGAGGAATGCTATGCCTTATTTACCCAGGAGTCATCATCCATTAATCTCAGTCATTCCATTTGCATCTTAGGCAAAAGAACATTAAGGGGGATGGGAGGGAAGTGGAGACAAGCGAAAGGAGATGGCTGACATGGTTGATTTTTTTTTCCCACTGCATATAATCTATTGTTGTTTAAACATAGCAAATTAGAGACAGTGGTTAGGAGAGGAAACAGGTAAAAGGAAGCACTGAGTTCAACCACTAATGTCATTCAAAACAATTCCCCCACAAAAAAGGAAACAACACGAAAGTAGGAAGAATAAAAATCTACAAGTGTGAGATTAAAAAAAAAAACATATAAACAAAGAAGAAGAAAATGTAAAATGCTAGAGCCCACACTGAGTTTCTAAATTATTTAGGATGTGACATAAACAGGAATTAAAATTTTGTTGCACCATGTAACAAAACCTAGTTCAGTCAATGGCTTTGTAATTCTCTTAACACCATAGATAAATAAGGATTTTGTTACAGCTGCTAGAATCAGCAGGGAAATGTCAGGCTAGTGTTCCTCTGATTCCCAAATGGGGAAGCTCAGCCTACAAATGGATGGTAAAGCAGTCCATTCCTAGGATCAGAGAATGCAGAAATGGTGTCACCTGGACTTTTACTGCCATGGATGTTGCCATTCGGTTCCTGGGCTCCTTGTTTCTCTAGTTTTGGTTATGAATGGTGCGGTGCGGACCACCTGCATGTAGGGGAGATTGTGTTCTATGCTTTCCCGGTATCTTGTTCTGAAGTACACTAGTTCTGTCTTTCAACTAAGAAAAGAGATCTGTGGATTTTCTTTTATTGAACTTTCAGTATTTTTAGTAAATATGGGTGATTGTTTCAAGAGCACAACAGAGGACAAGCTTCTTTTCTAGAAAGAAGACATTTCTTGACAATTTTATCATATATAACAGATCTTGTGTGTATGTGTTCTTCTATGTTTCTGATTAAAGAAAAAGAGAGAAGAAAAGGGAAATATATCTAACGTCCATCAGTAGTAACTTCCTATGACAGGGATGAAGGAAAATAATAGTTCAAGAAATAATGCTGAAAACTCTATGAAAAAAGACAGTGTATAAATAAAAAGTGTACATAGTTGTAAAAAAGAGGTATTAAGTATGTTTATTACCTATGCACTTTTATTTAAGTGATAGTTTAGTAAATATCAATTTTTTAAAAAATAAAATAATGTAAGAATGTCATAATGTTGCACATAATCATTATAAGTGGATATTATTATTAATTTGAGTTACCAATAAGAAGTTAAACTATATTCTGCATATTCTCTTTTTAAAAAATCTCTGACATGTTTGTGATACTACATTTGTATTCCATTGGAGGTTTGATACATATACATACCCCATTTTGGTCCTTTTTGCTTCCCTCCTTTTCTACTTCTGCCTGGCCTCTCCCCATCTCTAAAGATTCTGCCTCTTTGTCAACTTTATTAACATTAACATTGTTTTGCTCTTGAAGTTGTTTATATTTTGTGTCTGTTATATTAGAAAGACCATGCAATATTTAGCCTTTTATGACTGACTTATTTCACATATATCCTTAGAGTCTTGATAGCCATGGAGTTTTGTACAAATGGCTCAAATTCATGCTTCTTTTTGGCTCTGTAGAACTCCCTGGTGTATGTAAACCACATTTTCTTTATCCACTCATCTCTTAAGGGGCATATAGAACACTACCATGATTTGTGTTGTGCGTTGTCCTGCTACAAACATGGATATGTGTCACTGTAGAAGAATGAATGTAGCTCTTCTGGAAAGGTTAAACAGTAGAGGTGTAAATGGAATTTCTATTTTTAGGTTTTTTTTTTTAGAAATCTCTGTAGTAATTTCCAAAGTGATTGTACCATTTTATTTATTTATTTTTGGTACCAGGGATCGAACTGGAGTCCTTGCGCTTGCAAGGCAGGCCACCGAACCGCTGCGCTAAATCCCTGGCCCGGTCGTACTATTTTATATTCTCACCAATAACATATGAGGTTTCCTTTATTTCCTATAATGTCACCAGTATTTGCAGTTTTTTTCAGTCCTTAATAATTACCATTCTTACTACACTAAGAAGATCATGTTTACTTGATTTCTATTTCTCTAATGGCCAAAGATGCTGGATTTATTGGACGTCATTTTTTTTTTTTTTTCAGTAAATGTCTCACTGTGTTTTGGGCTGCCCTTGAACCCACAGCAGTACTCCTGCCTCAGCCTCCCAATTGCTGGAATTACAGGTGTGCACCACCATGTCTGGAATATGACTGGTCATTTGTATTTCTTCTTCTCTGAAGTGTCTATTCATTTCAATTGCCCATTTTTAATTAGGTCTTATTTTTTGTTCTTTTTATATTCTAAACATTAATCCTTTGTCTGCGGATTATCTGGTAAAAGATGTTCCCATGTATTGAGTTGTCTCCTCACACAGCTGGTTGTTTCTTTCCTGTGAAGAAGCTTTTCAATTTAAAATCCCATTTGTTAATTCTTGGTATTCTTTCCTATACACTGAGTTTCTGATAGGAAATCTCTGCCTATGCCTATATCTACCATTTTTTTCTTTGAATAGATTCAGAGTTTTTGTTTTTATATATAGGTCTTTAATAATTTTTGTTTGATTTTTAGTAAGGAATGAGAGATATGGATTAAAATTTGTTCTTCTGCATGTGACCACCCAGTTTTCTTTGCACCATGTTTGACTATTTTTGTTCCAAGTTATACTATTGGCCCTTTTGCCAAAACATGGTGGCTGAAGGTGCTTGGGTTTGTTTCTGCATCTTCTATTCTCTTCCAATATTATTTTTTAACCAGTCCTAAGCTGTTTTGAGTATAATGGCTTAGTAGTTTAACTTGAAGTCTGGGTCACAATGTTTCATGTCTTGCTTCTGTTACCCAGCATTGCATTGTCAATTCTATATGTCTTCTGTTTCCAAATAAATTTTAGAATTATTTTCTAGTTCTATGAAAATTGTTTATGGTATTTTGATCAGGATTGCATTAAATCTATATATCATTTTTGTTAATATGGCCTTTTTTTTTTTTTTTTTTTGGTACAGGGGGTTGAACTTGGGTCCTTGCGCTTGCAAGGCAGGCCACCAAACGGCTGAGCTAAATCCCGGGCCCCTATACGGCCAATGTTAGTTCTGCCTATCCAAGAATGGGAATGACTTTACATTTTCTACATTCTGCATTTTCCCTTTAAAAATTTCAGCAACAATGCAATTACTTCCATTCAAAAGAAGATCCACATAAAAATACTATACTCAAAATGATGAAAAATAACAATAAATAATATTTACTGACTGGGTAGTACTTAACCATCAGGATTCTATATGCCTTATATTTCTTAACCCCTTCCATGTTAATATTACTCTGCATGTAGGTACACTGATTACTCCCACTTCGCAGATGAAGAAACCAAAACATGGAAAAAAAAAGTTAACAGAAATGAGTAAATTGCACCTGCATATTCCACACCTAGAGTTTTATTTATCATTTTTTGTGGGCTTTATCATAAATCTCTGCCTCTAAGCAATCATCGTATCACTTAGTAATGATTTGGAAAAATTTTAACAATGGTAACAAAACCAATATGTAGAAATAAGAGCATGTGATAGATTAAAACCTAACTTAAGAAAATACTTTGTCACAGCCAAGACCATAGCCAACATCAAATGGCAAAACCAGTCGATAGGCTAAGCCTCAAACCACCGAATGTTCTGCACTGGACCATTGATTCTATTGTTAATCTTGCCCCTGAAATTGCTGAAAGGTATTGCTCAAACTTATACCTCACTTACAAAACAAGATTATAATCTTGAATTGGTTCATTTGACTAGGTAGACTGAAATCATGTGGTCACATTTTAGATCTTTGAGGGGCTAGAAAGGTTATACTATATATTATCTGTCTCTTTCATTTCTATTGAAAATCTCCTGCCATTACTTATACTATAACAAATTCCCTAAATATATATATATATA